GTTTTGATTTACAAAAACGTGATTTTCTCAAAATAATCTAAATGTCGATTTCCCCCCTTTTTGTAGAACACAGCCCATATGTTTGTTTAATTCCCCCCTCTCCTGTGAATGCGAAAAAAAAATAATGTTAAATGAAATTTTAACTGCAAGCAGCCTAAACTAATATTGTTATGAGATCGAAAACTGAAATTTATTAATTAAATTAGTCACGATTGGTTGTTACATGTTTTTAATTACTTTTATTGTCCGAAGGACATTACGGTAACCTGATGTCTGTGCGTGTGCATGCGAATCCTGGGTTTTGATTGGTTGATAAGGTCAAAACAATTATTATGCTCCGAAAATAACTGTTTTGCTGGATAGATCCGTGTTGATTCCTTCAGACTTAAATGGGTTCCATTTACCTAGTTGATTAACTGTATATATTAATCTCAATTCTTGGCTAAAACATAATTACTAAATATAGTGTAGTGTACTAATTTGAACTAAAAAAGGTATCAAATGAGTGCTGCCAAGGAAAAATCTAGAATTATTAATTTCGAAATTCGATTACGAAATGATCGATCATCTATAAAAAGATTTTTTGGGTACGATCGTTCATTCAGTGATCTAGAGGTGCGATCCGTGATCTGTAATCCGGATTATCCGTTCAAAATCCATTATCCGTTCAATCCTTATGCAATATTGTCGATCATCCGTTCAATCCGTTCAAACTGCGAATTGTAGATCATCCGTTCAATCTAGAGCTTGAAACTGGCCCTAATCGGTTTTAATATAAAAAAAAAACCAACTCCAAACTTTTAAACAACACAATATAATATAATAAATTTAAGTTCATTCTTTAATAATAACAGTTTTAAAAAAAACCGTAAAAAATCACTATTATATTAACTGCAGATTGCAGATCATCTGTTCGATCCGTTCAAAATCCGGATTGCAGATCAATCCGTACGAATAAGGATTTGACCTTGTGTACTCCGGATGATCCGGATTTGAACGAATTACATCACTACAGTGATCGAACTTATCGATATTTTCGAAGTGAATACTACTATGTTGAAATTTTGCACTGCTGTTACAGCCGTGGCCAATCATCAAATATGAGCTCTTGCATTGCTTACAGCAACCTCGGAGTTTAATCACCAAAGCAAGAGATCCTTGCAATGCCTATTTTACCACAGAGCCTAATAACCAAACATGGGTCTTTGCCTGCAGCAGCCGCAGACCTATCAGCGTTAACCAATAAACAAGCATCAATATATTACTTTTTGGTTTGCAAGCTACTGTGAGATAGGTGGAAGTGATGGGATGAAAAGAAAGATAACTTTCTTTACTAACCAAAGGCCTTAAATGCCCTTGTCTTGGCATTAACAATCACTCCTTTCTTACGTCGCTAATTACACATTCAGAACTATAAGATAACCTCTTACTTCTCTTACCATTTTCTAATAATCATAGTAAATCATATTTCAAAGTCTAGAGAATATCTTATCAGAGATACAAATTATAACAAAAAATTTTTTTTTGTATTATAACGATAATGAACGATCATACGATCGGTCATAAAATTGTGCAAATTTGAATCGCCTTTAATTTTTAACCGATTGTAGTTCAATCGGTCAAACTTTCGAACATTTTATAAGTGATTGATCATATGGGATCTTTGCTAGGAAAATCATCCTTCGGAATTATCTGATCGGGCCAATTCGGAAAAGCTTAGACCAGAATGCCGGTTCTTATTCATATGTAAAACATTTTTTTACTTTACTGATTCGGCAGTTTATTTAATGAATCAATAAAGCAAAAGGTGATCTACATATGAATAAGAACCGGCATTCTGGTCCAAGCTTTTCCGAATTATCCCTATCGGAAAATCATGAGTACTGCCAAGGGAAAAAGGTCGATCGCACTTTTAATATATTTTGTGTACCGTCTATGGAAAATTTATCACCATAATATGTACAAAAAATATATTGAAAATCCGATCGGCCTTTTTTTCTTGGCAGCACTCATATGATCGATTAAGAAAATTTTCACCGATAGCCATCTCTACAGGCAATATCAAATTCTTATAAGCTGTTTCAGAGAATGAAATAATTTCGGTACTAAAAGATAATCAGGTCGTCATCAGGTAAATACATAACACAAATACAGTAATACACACCATTAATATCGCGATATAGATAATGTGAACTTCAATCATTTTATACGTGTTGACGGACGGACGGACGGGACAATGTACGTAATAAGATATTTATCCTTTTATACTCATCATCGATTTATTTTTTCTTACCGTTGACAAGAGGGAGATTTATATTACGAATAAGAGTTATAACATGTAGTATACGGATGCGGGACAAGTAAAAAAAGTCGAAAGAAATGAAAATACATTTAAGACAATCTAGCGTATCCTTAAATTCTATATATTCACTTAATCAGATTATGACAGGATAAAAATTTGTAGGCAAGAATATATTCTCAAGAACTAATTGGAACTAAAATTGAACGCATTGCGATTGATTACAATTCCAAATCATCACGTGTTATAACATATGAATTCATACGTGATGTTATGGTTTAACGTTACACCAACAATATAGTAAATGAAAATTGGTCGGTATCATCAGATCATGAGATGATAACAACTTATCTCAGTATTTTTGAAACAATTAAAAAGGCAAGGTTTTACCAAATTGGGATATTATTTATAAAGCTAAGTTACAAAAGTGTAAAGTTATTTTATTTTACGCAGAGTTAAAAAAATGATATACACCGCATATATATAGCACAAATCTTTTGAATCAGACTAAATAGAATGGTTGAAATATTTTTTGAAAATCCAAATGAAGAAAGAATTGGACCAGGAAAAGAAAAATATCTTTATTATTCATCAAAAGCATATTTTACATATGGATTAAATCGAAACAAATTTCAAAACGGATATTTAGGATTAAATCCTTCAGAAGTTAGTGGAATATTTCATATCCGATATCCTGAAAGTAAACCTTTAAAAGCAACAAAGATAGAACTTTATTTTTGTGGAATAGTTAATACACAATGGGCAGATTATAATGGTTATTGTTCTAATAGTAAAGAAATTTGTAAAGAGATGAAATGTATATGGAAAGCAAATTCTAACGAAGAAAATATAACAAGTTTAGATTATCCATTTAAGTTTACAATACCGAATGAATCACCCTCATCAATAAATTATATAGGAGAATATAAAGTAAATGGAACTATATATTATACTATTAATGCAATAATTTATCGAAAAACACGTAGAATATTTGAAAGTTCAGAAAAAGTGATTGAAGTTAGAGCAGATATTAAACGATGGCAATTACTGACATGTCCAGATTATAATCCGGATTTATTAATTGAAAAAAACGAATTATATAAATGTCAAGTATTATTAGATAAATCAACATTTGATATTAAAGGGATTATTAATATTCCAATTAATTTTCAAATATATAAACAAAACGTAATAGTGAAAAAAATTAAAGTGAAATTAGTAGAATATTTTAAATTAAAAAATTTTGCAGCATCCAATAAAGGAAGTTTGGTAAAACAAACAGTGAATGGTAATGAAGTGCTATCAATACCAAATAGCGAAAATGAGTTTAGTGTTGTTGTGAAATTGGATTTATCAAAAGTAAAAAAATTGTGGAATAACGAAGCTGTAATAAATTGTAGTTGTATTACAGAATTATTTGAAATTTTCCATAAAGTGAAAATTAATATTTTAATGGGTAAAGCTAATAGTGTAAAATTTAAAAAGGAGATCAAATTGTGTAATATTGTTAGTGATGACGCTTTGGAAGAATATATGGAGGACAATATTTTTTAAACGTGTCTGGTATGAATAATTATATACGTACTGTATTACGTAGCAAATATACCGTATTATTAATGTAATTAATATTTATTATTAATTTGTATTTGATATTTATTATTAATTTGTATTTGATATTTTACTAAATTTAGGATAAATATTTATATTAATTAGTACTTTTATACTCAACTAAGTAAATACGTATTAATATATTTTTATTTTATTTTTTATATCGGTAAATTTTAAAATGCTTACACAGAAAGCTATTTTTTATTCAAAAAAATAATATATATCGATATTACCGTATGATATTCTCATAATGTACTGTCTTTAGTAATATCCCGGATATTATATAAGAAAAATTCTCAAAAAATTTGGTAATCAAGAGTATATGAAGAGGTTAAACGTTATTATTCGCATATGTCTCCTGATAACAATGCCTCCAAGCTTACCCATTTTCGGTTGAAAACATAGGACATATTATAAGACCGAATGCTAAGATAGCGCCTTGCAGTATCTGCATGTGCTAGACGTTGTGCTACTAAGCACAAAAGCCTTTTTTTACATCATTTAAATTTTTGTAGTGACACTAAACTATTAGTATGATATTAAAGATATTAAAGTTTTGAATAATCGTATAGATTAAATATGGCAAAATTAAATGTAACAGTAACGTAACAGTAGCAGGAAACAAAATCAGTCCCAAACTTTACATTAAACGAATTTTTGTCTCTGTAAAAAATGGACGTAACAAATTACACATTTTACTTGTAACATTAAATTCATTTTTTTTAAAAAAATAAAGTTTGACATATTATATTTAAATAATCAAATTAAAATAATCGAATTAGGATGTAATCAGATTCAATACAGAGAGATCTCTCTAAATGCACACCCCTTGGGACCAATAGTAAAAAATTTCACAAATGTGCACTTTGGAGAGGGCGTGCATTTATAGAGAGCAAAATATATAGTACTATTATAAGCCGGGACCAGACTATACCGTGCATTTAAAGAGATTTTACATAGAGGGTGCATTTATAGAGAGTGCATTTAGAGAGGTCTCTCTGTAATTTTTTATCACATTAACTAAATTTTTTTTCTTTTCGAAAATATCAAATGTTTAATACATATGCGAATTAATGAAATTGGAAATTTATTTAAGTTCGATCGCGATCTTCGTACAGCGAGTCCCGTGAGTCCATGAATAAAACATAAACAGCCACCTTATGTTCGTCATATTTTGTGAAACTTATTTATCGATAAAAGGAATAATTAATATGAATTCTGCAAAATATTTCAAAGTTGAAATACTATCATATTGTAATCACAGAAAAAAAATTGCAAAAATTAACTAAATCGAAAAGAGCGGTAATGAATCTAATATGAATTTAGAATATTGCGAAGAACCTTCCGAATATTCAATGGGGCTTAGAATTCTAAATCCACCTAAATACTGGTATTTAGAAAAAGGTTCAATCCCGTCAATTCACCATAATAACAGAACCAAGTAAAAAATTTTTTATGTGCAATGTCTAAATGAAAAACATTTTCGACTTTTAGTTCTTCATATTCATCTTTAAGAGTTTTTTCCATCTTAAAAATTCTGATATTTTGAGCGTCATTATTATAAATTTTTATCGGTTCAGAAAGCACATTATATAGCTATTAGACGATTGATAATACGAGTTTTTATTATACTGTATAATAAAGAAATGTTTCTCCAAAAATTTTAAGCACGAGATTGCCAAAATGTTTTAAAACACGAGAGATTGTTTTCGTCTTACACAAGAATGCAAGATGCTACGTTACACGCTACGACTACCAAAAAAATTATTAAACTATTACAAAAAAACATGAAAATATTTTAAAATTTTCGACTTGCCCAGATAATTTTACAAGGTAAAGAACTACGAATGTCTAATTTACCTAGAAAATTTAAATCTGGAAAAATTAAATATGTCAACGATAGAATATTATATATAGCTTAAATGTTTTTGTTAAATAGTTAAAATAAATTATTAATTTCTATAAATAAAATTTCTGTAAAATAACCAAAATAAGCTATCAACTTCTGCCGATAAACTTTTTTTCTGCCAAATAATCCGAGTTGCCGAATAATCAGATTTGCCAAATATTCCGAACTGCCAAATATTCCGAGTTGTATGACGATTAATACTTATTATTATTATTACTGAAAACCATATCATCATTAGATATTTGAGCTCCATTCATAAGGTGTGTCTGAAAACTATAATTATCATTAGATATTTGAGCTCCATTCATAAGGTGTGTCTGAAAACTATAATTGTTATTCGCATGAAAGAAGTAAAACGGATAGGAATTAAATGAATTTGGAGAAGTGAAAGTCGAAAGTGAATGAAAATCATTTGTATAATAATTTCCCGAAAAGTTAGGTTGAATGGAGTGTGTATATGTGTCTGGTATTTTGTTATTTGTCGGAGAATACGAAAATTGGTGACAGAATTCAGGTCTAAGATTTGATGTGGTAGGAGTATTATTGGAATTGACGACGGAGTGCTGAGTTGGTGTATTCGACGTATGATCGACTTCGTTCCTAAGATCATATTCCTCTATTAATTATAAAATTATATTAATATTAGTATTATCGTTATTAGGAAGCATGGAATCTTGGAATTGTCAAAATTAAGTTTTTAGAAATGCAAAATTTGTCAAAAGTAATCTACAATCCGGACAAACTTGCCGACAATTTGGCCAGGTTTGAGCAAGGTAACTTACTTAATCTGGCTAAGTGATCGGCAAATTTGAATTTACTACAGTCAAACCTCTTTATACGTATTCACATATATCTTGATTCTGTGCTTATAAAAAATTATACTTATATAGATATTAACTTTTATGTTCTATACGTATAAGTTTGTTTTAAATTAATATGCTTATAAATAAATGTGACTATATAGTGTGCGACTATAGAGAGGTTTGACTGTATTTGTCAAATTATATTTTAAGCTATCTGTTATATATTTAAAAAAAAAAAAATTCACACCTTGAGTGATTTCGATTATTTCGATTTTTTTTAAGTATACTTTATCACCCTCCTTAATATACTCGTAGGTAATAGACGGATTTATTTTATTAATGGGAACAGTATCATGTTTCGGCTTCGGGGCACACTTTTTTATATTATTGGGCTTTGGCCCACGTTTATTATTACTTTTCGGGTTACATTTCAATTTCATCTCTCTACATCTTTTACATGGCTGCGAAGAATCAGAATCAGGTTCACATCGTCTTTTCAAAATCGCACATCTAATACATGCGTTTATCGCATTTTTTCTTGAAGGTTTTTGTTCATTCATGTTGCGATAACTTTGTGAAAGACATCGCTGCTGACCTTAAATAAATAATATATTTCTTGCGGGAAATTGCTATTCTTCCGCTATTTCCACAGAAGAAAGGAAAGCATCTCCGTGACATAGTTTGTACAACATATGTAAGTATGTAACTATGATTTCAGTTTCAGATATGAGTATATAAGCTGTATAATAGAAACTTTAATGGAATTTTATTAACTGTTGTGTGCCAATATTTTGCAATATGATTGGACGCCGATAAAAAATTTCGAAAAGGCGGTTTTACAGTATTACAAATAGAAGAATTATGGTAACACGGGCGATTTCTTAGATTTTTCTATTAATTAGAAAATTCCTTTTAGCACGGTAAAATCCGAAAAAAATATATTTACCGTTACAAATTTTATATACGTAGACATTATTGTCGTACAATACAAACTAATAAGAACACATTGACACTATCGCTATCGCTATAAAGCCTCAAAAGTAAATTTTTCCATTATATGAGAAACATACAGTAGCACAGATTTCTTTAAAAGGTTAGACGTTATAAATATTCCATAACCCTTGTAGATTTTGTGATAGACTAGTAAAATAGCGGCATTTTTAGGCTGGAATCTAAATTTCAAAATTGAAATTTTAAAATTTTAATATCGTAAAGAAACCAAATTTTGCTTTTTATTATCATCTTAATATTGTACCGTAATGCAATGAATAAAAAACCCGGATTTTAATACAAAATACCATGGGTATCTTGACGTGTACATACGTACGGGCATGGTATGTAATGCAAAAATTAATATATATGTCATAATAATAATATGAAAAATGCCGGCGGTTACAGTTGTTATCATAATTTCTGAAACATCTAAATTTGCCGAGTGATTTTTTCGGCCGATCCGATTAAATTAGGCATAATAGATTCAATAACGATAAAATTGGTAATTTAAAATCGGGTTATGATATAAATATTAAGACTACGAGTATTATTTGGTTGTACTGTATACAGAATATGATGCTTTTAAAATATTTTCGATAGCAATTATCGCTGTTTGCAAATTGATGTGACTTTTGATAAAATCTGTGGGTTACTGCATGCCCGCCCGACTGTCCGATTGCAATCGATTGTACATGTTTGTGCGTGATTGTATGCAATTTCTCAGCGAATATTTTTTTATTTGAATTTTATAGAACTATACATTCAAATAAAAAAAAATTCATCAAATTTGATCAAGTGGTTGCTGAGATCATCGCTCAGTTTTTTTTTAAAAAAAATGGCAATGTTTATCATTAATAGAAACTGCGCCAAATTTTTTCTAAAAATTTGAGCAGACATATTTTAGCAACCACATAAACAAATCCGATGAATTTTTTTTATTTGAATTCTATATATTCACAGAATTCAAATAAAAAAATTTTCATCGAATTTGATCAGGCGGTTGCTGAAATATCTTCGTTCAAAGTTTTTAAACATCAAAATGGAAGCTGTGCCAAATTTTTCTTAAAACTTTGAGCGAAGATATTTCAGCAATTATCTAAATAAATTCGATGAATAGCTTATTTGAATTCTAGGGATCTATAGAATTCAAAATAAAAAATAATTCATCGAATTTGATCAGATAGTTGCTGAGATATCTTCGCCTAAAGTTTTAAGAAAAAACTTATATTTTGATATTATGATGAAAATTCATGGT